CTTGCTATTTAATTAATAAACATTGGTATATAAAGGCATACCATTGTCAACAATGATATGCTGATAGCAGCATCCACCCTATTTACTATTTTTAGAGCCGGGCCACTGGTCTGCCCAAAGGATCCCATCAGACTTTGTTGTTGTCGTTCTTCTGCAGTCAATGTCTTTATGGCTGGCCTATGCATGTTGCCTTGCTAAACTCAAATGTGTCCTAGAGTCATCCAAACGTTACTCCGCTATAGCACTTATTCTTTTATATCCCGTGGCCACCTCCTCCCAGATCTCTATTTCCATATCTGCCTACGCGTCATTCCCCGACCTGATTCTCACACCTCACCGTGACGTCATTCCCAGCCAGATCCCTGACTTAAGCAGCACAGCTCATCTCCGTCCCTATCGTGCCCTCAGTCCTGTGCAGTACACCAAAGGGGTCCTGGACCTTCTGGCAACTGACTGGGATGATGACAGAACTGTCATCTGCAATTTACGGTACCCTCGGCCAGTACTCGGTGTGTGCGTGTGGGGGGGGGGGAAGAAGAGAAAGACAGAGTGTCAGTCAGGTTGCAACACTTTTAAAGTAATGCTTTGGATTAAAATCTGAAAATGTTCTGGCAAAGTGAACTCTCACTTTAAAAGTTTGGACCAGCAGTTGCAGAGAGCCTTAATAAGATTAGCCTTGCCACTTGACAGCCACAGCTTAAGGGGCACCTCTACTGACCCGTGTGCCTCTATCCAGCGGAGAGTGTGCATTTGTTTTTGCTTGTGTGTGTGTGTGATATATATATATATATATATATATATAAAAATAATAAAAAGTGTGTCATTTTGTGGGGGAGTCCAGTTATGCCTGCATTTTTGAATTCATGAAAAAAATAAAAATAGTAAGTTATGATTATTTTGTGTCTGTGCATGAATGTGAGCATAGCAAGACAAGACATGCCCACACAACCAGAATGTCCTCAGAACAGAATGCAGTCAGTATTTTGAGGCTGTGCCACGCAGTTTGTCTTTATCACAGAAGATTTACACCACTTATGAATTTAGAGCAACCGTTCAGCCTCTCAACAACCCCTGTACATCTGGTCCGTAGCATTCTTTTTTTCAGACCGTGGTTTTTCGATAAACAGGCTATAAATTCCCGGAAAGGATTATGAACCAACAAGAAGATAATTTGTCAGACAAAAAGCCCACAGAAAAACAGCTTTTTCCTAATTGGTACCCAGAGATGTTCCAACCATTGGGCTTGATGTCATGCAGAGGAAACCACAGCCTCACAAAAGCAGAGGTACATTGAAATGGGCACTGATGGTGGTAAGTGTGTGTGTGTGTGTGTGTGTGTGTGTGTGTGTGTGTCAGATGCCCCTTTACTCAAAATGGAGTCTGAGGGCAGCTCGTAAGAGACAGTGAGGCACTCACGGTAAAGGTTTAAGTTGGCACCAACCCGACCGTACACACTAGGCGGTGCTGCCTTCCTCCCTCACTGATCCCACCCCCCATCCTTTCCTTCTGGGTAGCTATTCCCAACACTATCCAGCCTTCACCCCAGGAACTAAAGCCACTTCACATTCCCAGAATATTCCACCATGATGGCCCATCATCACCAGCACAGACTTGACCCGAAGGTATACGTTGGTAATATAGTCATTAACACTTTCTAGGGTGATGGGAGGGAAAGTATGCAGACAGCAAAGTGTTAGAGCTGTAGCCTACTGTTTGGGATATAGGTGACCTCAGGCACATTGTAATAGCTCATAAATCTTATTCATAGAGGTTTCTCTCTGGGACCCTTTTACCCTCACACACATTGTTTTTTAGATTCTGTACTGGTTGTGAAAGATACCATTGCTTGATTGCTTGTAGTTTTCCTTTTTACCAGTACTTTTGTAAGCAATGGAGTGATATGTGTTTATTATGAAATAAAGAGGCAACAACAGCTGGTAACAAAAATGGAGTTTTCCAACTGAGTGTAGATTAGACAACCTGCTGATGACTTAGTACGTAAACAATGTCCCGGGCCTGTCTCTGGCTCTCTGTCCGTCTGTTTCTGTACGTTCATCAGACCCCCTCTAGCATTGAATAGTTTTCAGTTTAGCTCAACGTCTGCCAACATGCACACTACCCGACACCACAAGGGCCTGCTGTTACATGTCAGCCAGCTGGTTAAGGGAACACATCTCAGCACCTCTCCATGTCTAAAGTGTGTCTGTGTGTGTGTGTGTGTGTGTGTGTGTGTGTCAGAGATTGACATCGGTGTTTGTATGTATTGTTCTTACTCTCTACCTTCTTTTTTACGAGCTTTTTTTTACTTCAACCTCAAGTCATTCATTCCATTCTAACGACTCACCTTTGACCTCTGAAGTGAAATTCTTATGCTGGTTTTTTTTTTTTTTTTTTTTTGTGTCACTTTGCAAAACAGGAATATGTCAACCTGCCAAAAAAGAAGCGAATGATCTGATACTGTAGATCTACATATGTACCCGTGGAATGTAGTGCTTGTTTATATGTGTGTGTGTGTGTGTGTGTGTGTGTGTGTGTGTGTGTGTGTGTCCCGGCCTAGGGTAGAATTTAATCTTTGATACTGTTATCAGCTCAATGGTGCTGGAGACCTGTTTGGAAAACCCACTGCAGCTCTGACCTATTTGTGTCAGTGTACACAGGGCTGCATGTGGACTGTTTTCCAGTGAGTGTGTGTTGTATGTGTGTGTTTATTAGTGCTCGGGATGGTGTGTGTTTAAGGAGAACTCTCTATGGACTTGGGGAGTGTGAGAAGCCGGGTGTTTTGACAGCTTTAGAACAGTTCCAGTACAGTGCTGGGGCAGGGGGTGTGGAGGCCTGTTGGATATTTGGGAGAGCTGCAGGGGGGAGAATAGGGGAATGAGACGAAGAGTTTCATTCCAAAGTGCTCTACGGACATAAAAATCATAGCAGCTATCCATTGCTTAGTATTACAGATATTCCTGTCCTATATTATCATCTATAATCCATTCAAACCCAGAAGTAAATATACTATAATCTATACAAGTACTGTAAAAGTACAATATTTTACTGAAACATCAACATGACCATACTTTGTACAGGTGTTACATTAAAAATAATTTGGGGTATCATTGATGCAAAATGAAGCCCTGCTTAAAACTGACCTGAAAGCATTTTCAGAGGGTAAATGAAAGTATTGTGCAAGAGAAAACATTATCCACTCAATAGGGATTTACTGAACTTTAACAGAATTATTTTTCAAAATGAACAAATTAAGTCCTTCAGTAAAAGTTGAGGAACATCGGAGGGTGTTGAATATAGTGCAAACTAAGCTGATTATTTGTCCAAGTAGGAGGACCCTTGTTGTCCAGATGGTTAAAGAATGATCTCTGTTCATTCTCCCAACTTTAATCTCGCCAAAGTGTAACAGCAATAGGAGTGGACTTCCCACACACGATGAAGCTCAAAAACAAAGCCACTCAGTCCTCTCTGTGCTACTGTAGCTGAAAGGCTGTAAGCTCAGTGAGAGTCCACCTCTCCTACAAATGGGCTGCCTCTCCACATTTCTAAGCCCGCTCGCTGCCAGCGCTGTTGAACCCCTGCTTTCTCCGGCAGCATTCCGCTCCATCTTTCATGCTGTTTCATTCTGGCCGTGCCAGTCAGGTCAGGGGGCAGTGTTTTCTCAGGCCTTACAGACAGCACTGGACAAATACATGGACACATTGCACATTCAAATATCATTTGTGTAACTGTGCTGGTGCAATTGCACGTGGGATTTTGCATGTTGAGTGCAAGAACATACATGAAAACCTTGTTTGTGGGGACAGACTGAGGAGAAAAAGGGTAAAGTATTTGATTTGTGGTCTTTGACTCTAAGCATTTCGTGTGACAGCCTCTGATCTGCAAGAGGATTTGGCACACGGACGTGACTGGGCACTCTGGCAGTGTCACAGAGTTCAGTACCAAATTCTCCCAGTAGATGTCTGTCTTCAGCCTTCTGAAGTCATGACAGGAAGTTGGCTGATCAGATTGTCTTTTGTTCCCACTTGGCAAAACACTGCAAAATGTCCAAAATTAATTTTAAGATAGAGATAATTTAAAACAAAATCTGTGTTTTCTTATTATTTTGAACGGCCCAATGAAAGGCAGATCGGGGAAGGTTCCTGACTTTGAAACATGCCCGGGCAAAGTCTTAAGTTGGATAATATAACATTTATTAAGTCTGAAGTAAAAATAGTTTCGCCAGTAGAAGAGTGAGTTATTTATACCAGCTGGCAACATTCTTATTCTCTGATACAGCATAACATTCCAGAAAGTAATTCCCAGACGTCAAGATCTTGTAAAAATGTGAAGGGGAAAAGGCTGGGGGTTTTCCACATCAATCCATGATCTGCTCTTTCTTAGCTCATGTCTGTTGTAGCACTAAATACGTGTTGCTATGGAGTAGTTGCTATGAAAACCCAGAATAACCGTAAAAGAGAAATGATCTCCATTGCCCATGAGTAATAACTAGACTATTACATAACTTATCTGAATTGTAGTTCAGATAGGAAATGACTATGGGCATAAAATAAAGGGAAATATAAACATACATTTTGGTAAATGTTTCCCATGCTTTTTGTGAAGTGTCTTATACCTTTTGTTTGAATAAAAACCACAGTCTTAATGACAGAGATTCTTTAAGCATCACATTGGTGGATGTGAATGCTCCGCCATCGAAAGACAGCATGCTTTACTGCATGTATTGAGTCAATAAGATGGAAAGTGCACATTTCCAAGGCTCACTTTAACTGTGATCATTAAAGTAAACGATTGGCTCTTGTATCCTAATTTTTAAATAAACTAAAGTGGTCCTCTAGAGGTACAACATCTGACACATTAGCTCAATAAAAGTTGTTAATAGAAATCCCTTCAGGGCGTCGCTCAACTCAAAACATATTATTCTGATCGCACATGAACGCAGCACTACACGAGTCGCTTGCACCGTGCGGTGACGCGTGGCCCGTGGAGGCGTGGCCTCAACTGAAATCAGCTGGAGGAGACGACAACAGAAAAGGAGGTTGCTCCGACCAGAAATATCCTCAGGCCGGCTGCTATGTTAAGACTCTACCGAGAAAAGCGCCCGAATAAGGTCCGCAACAACGAGTCAACACTTATTGAGGACTGTGAGACGCGCGATAACAAAAGCTGCGGCAGGGAAGTAAGAGGAGGAAAGTATGTGACGGGGCAGCTCTCCCGCAGTCGAATGTGCTCTCTGGCAAACAACGGGACAACAGCAAGCACGTCTTCGTCCTCCGCGCGTCTCTGTCCGGCGTGAGTGACCGGCTGAACCACCTGCAGAGGGGGCATGTGGGTCAATTCCGGAACCGTCGGAAGGTAGGGACCCCTCCTGCTGCGGCGCGGGGTCACGTGCTCCCGATGCTGAATTGTTGTGCACAAAGCAATCCGCACACTGCTCGCCATGCCCTTTGCCCTGGAGAGTGTTCGTTTATCGGACCGCATTTCAATCCGGTGGCGGTGACCATGTTTGTAGACTACTTAATGGGTTTTTATAATCTCTGAGATCTCTATATGAGGCCGCTGAAATAGTCTGAAAGGCTCTTATGTTCGAAATGTATGACATTATTATAGCAGGGGTTTGGGTTTAAGCCCATGCGTGCTGCACACGCGCTGCTTCGGAAGCGTTTCGAATCAGGGTTGAAGTGCAGCGGATGGGTTCGGCACGTTACGCAAGATTCATCAGCGCATCGTTCGTGATGTAGGGCGATGAGCACCTGCCTTTTTCCAAAGACAGTGGAAGGGCAGACACCTTTCCACCGCGCCGAATTGCTGTCACTTGCACTGCATTTCCGCCAAAACAGGGATGCCAATGCAAAATATGCTTTTGTTGAATCGGTTTCCTTCAACAACAACAAAAAGGTGAATGAACCAGGTGGTTATGAATGGCTGCGGAGAGAGGGAGCGCGCGAGGTGCTTTTCATTGATGCGTGTGATGCCACCGTGCAGTTTTTACAGCGCGAGCAAAAATCTTTGTGTGACTTTGTTCGAATGCAAAAGTAGTCACATGAATTCACGGACACACCCGCGAACACACGATGATGCCGAGCCCGTTGCAGTGACGTCATCAGATGAAATGCGTGTACTGCTTTGCTGCCCTCTACCATTACCTGAAAATGAATAAAATAAGGAGATTTTATCTGACTGCATAACATTTCCAGTCATCGTCAATTTATCGTATCTGATAAATCTATTTGGGTAAACAGTTCTCTTTCATATTGTGCAACTTCTTGTCTTATGGCCAATGTATCTTTCTCCTATCTTTTATATTGGTACATATGAATGACCGCTCTTGTACAAATGACCACGGTTCGGTTATATACTTTCTATCAGTCTACCACTAGTGTTGATTAATCGATGATTGAGGCTGTTGTTATGTGTAGGGTGAGATTGATCTGGGACAGATGATCCGGGCTGTTTCTGTCTCTGTTAGGCACTATAGCCCAACGCTCTAACTGTGTCGACAGCTTTTAGATAACATTGTGCAGCACTGACAGACCCACATGGAAGAGTCAGCCAGCATTATACTGCCTTCGATGCTCTGATCCCTGGAACAGGCCTCAGTGGAGGCTATGCGGGGTAATAGACCTCGCAACTGCGTTTATGTTTAATGGGTTATGTTTAACTGCTGCGTATCTGCCGGGCAAAATGTATCGACCTCATGGTCAATACAGTTTCTATAGGGTTTGGGGTCACAGTGGCTTAAAGTTACAGTAAATATTAAATATAGTGAATCACTAACAGTCAAGCTGGAATATAATGAACAGAAACATTTTCTATAATGGAACAGATACTAGAAAGAATAAGGGTGTGATGTACTCAAATTACAATGAGGTATAAGTTAAGGTTGCAAGAGAGATGGAGAGAAAGAGAGAGTAGGAGTAATATAGACATGGGAGGAGGAGGAAGATGGGAGGGATAAAGGAAATTAGGACACCAAAGAGGAGCCTTCCTGTGTTTACACCATCACAGAAGAGCGGAGGAAGGCTTTCTCGTGCAGGCTGACATGCCGATCCCAAAGACCCTCACATTCATTAGGATTGATCCGTACGTATCGCCGTCCGCCGCGGGCCGCACAGCGATACCAGCGCCATCTGCAGTGAGTGAGGCAGGTACGTGCAGGCATGCTTGTGCATGTGCATGTCTGTGCTAGAGTGTGTGTGTGAGAGTCTGAGGTCTACTGTCAGCCATCCAGTGTGCTAAGCAGATGGTACAGACCAGGTTATGTAACCAGTCTGTGCCAGCTGCGCCTCTGGCAGTCGCTGCCTTAAAAACCTACGTAATACATACACAGACAGGCACAGGGAAAGCATACCCAAGTACAAGTGAGTTGACATTTTGATAAAGCATACTTTGATAAATGAATAGTGAGAAAAAAAAATAGGTTGCAGATATGGCTGATCATTTAATCCCAGAATTGCACATTGCAAGCCTATGATATAGTGTTAACCCCCGTGTGAGCGCACAAGTGCAACCCCTCTTGTTGGCCCATCTATAAAGTGGGTGGTTATTGTGGTCATTTGTTGTTTTTTTGCAGCGCTGCAGGGAGGGAGGGAGGGTGGAGGGGCAGGCGGCTTCAGTCTGGGTGGTGAATTCTAGGTCCAGGGAAGAAGACAAAAATGTGGCCCGTTGGGTTCGTGCAGGGCATTTGGATGCTCCGCGTCTGCCAAGTGGATTGCTAAAAGTGTTGCACAACCGGAAGGGGGAGACCAAGGGGGAATCAAACCGGGGGCGGGAGTCTCCCCAACATAGCTCCTTGATTTCTATCCAGAATAGTGTGAGATCATAGATAGTTACATCAATCAAGTTGTGGAGGGAGCATGACGAATAAAACTGGGAGCAGTCAAGAAAGAGGGCAGTGGACAGTGGTTATGAAAAGACAGACAGTGAAGAAGGGAATAACTGAGCGGGAGGGTTACATTTGGAAAATGAATACAGAGAAGGAAGGAGAGAGGAGTTTGTGAGGGGGTCGGAAGGTGAGGTTGTGTGGGCACAGATGGGAACAAACCACAGAAGCATAGACGGAAAGAAGGATAAATAAAAGGATTTAGACAGGAAGTAAAAAAAAAAAGCAAACAATAACACTGCCAGGAAATATGCAAGGAAGTACAGCTGGAAGCCATCTCCTCATAAACCCCCTCTGGCTTTAAAGCAATGCCATACTGAGATGCACACTATCCAAATTATGCATGAGCTTCTTTGTCTGTCTGGTCCTCCTGCACCAAACAAAAGCACGCGCGCCCACACACACACACACTGACTCAATCTGTCTCTTTCCAGAGGAAAAACCAAAAGGGCACATTTCATGGTTACATGTGACACTTCTTTGCTCATACAGGCTCCTTTGCCGCCTTGTTGGAAAAGATGTCACGGGCCATCAAATAAAGTCTAGACATCTGTGTACGGTTCACTATAGGTCGTTGGCTAAAAATGAAACCTGAGCCATGCAGCTTCTCTTTCCACTCGTGTGAGCTGCTCCGCTCTCGCAGTCCCGGGCTTTGCCTCATCCCTCAGTCATGCAATTAAAAACATTGATGCTGATGTAGCTAAAAAGATTAACACTTTTTAAATATAAACCTGAGAGCAGGTGCATATCTATGTAGTTCACTGGTATGCCTGTAAACTATCGTGTCGTGGTTGCTGACCGCCACGTGACCCGATGCACGGCCTCAGATGGAGGGTGATATCCGCGAGCCGGGGATTCTCCTTCCCCCTGGGAAATGGTCCACACCAGCTCCGCCTCCCGGTTACATCACGGCTCGCATCATCCCGTGCCTCATAGGTCAGCCTTAAGCTCATTACCACGTTCACACACACATGCATTCATACACATGCATGCTCACATTGAAACCTTCGGACTGCGTTGATTCAGCACATCATCTTATATTGTTCTCTTTTCACTTTTTTTTCCGTTATCTGTATTCCTCCTCTTAAAGAACCACACATGTGATGGTAGAGGGAAGCAGCAGCAGCAGGAAAAGATGATATGTTCCCCCGAGCAGCTTCGGTCATTGCTGGTCTCGCCCTTTTGATCCGAGTGGCATAATTGACGGATTCTCATGCCGGGCTGCCAGTCCCTCTCTTTCTCTCCAAGACTGATAATCCTGCCCATGCCTTGTTTCTCTTGAAATGCTCGGAATTGACCAAACTCTGCATCCTCTCACATTGGAGATGTTACAGACCCCCCTGTGTAGTCTGGCAGGCTTCGTATTTGGCTGTTCATCCCACTTTTCCTGATACAGGATGAAGAGGGTTGCTGCCCTGACTGTTAGGCAGATAGCTGTTAGATAAGTACAAGATTGTGGTATCTTTTTTTTAATTGTTTTTTATTGCTTTTCTATTTAACTTTACCTGCAGTTAGTGTGTCAGAAGGTGTCACGGCCATACAGGTGGCTAGTGGAAAAAACGGTATTTATAGCTTTAAGGGGCACAGTTCTATCTCTTCCTTATGGACCATTCAGGAAACAACCTCTTTGACGGACACATTTCTTCAACTCAAGTAGACAAAGGTAGGCTCTCCGCACTGTCCTTTCTGACTGATGTAATCGGGACTGCTTTTGGCAGTAAAGATCCTTTCATTGATGTTGACACGGTGAAATAGTGTGTGATTTCTCAGCTACGGAAGAAATATGTTCTGTATTTTAGCTGCGGTATAACAGGTTTTGTGTCTTTGGGGATACGGAGAGCAAGTCATGGCTGATTGCAAGTGTGCACACATGGCTCATATGTCCGATGAATAGATGCCATTTTTAGCTGTTGGTCTGAAGTGTGGCTTCCTCGTCAAAGCACTAGCAAGGCCTCTATAAATGTTTCAGTTGCTCTATTAATGGCGTGGGTGTTTGAACTAGTTGCACGTGCAGATGGACTGATTATCTGGTTTCAGATCTAACTATGGTTACGTGTGCGTATGAATGTTTGTGTGTGTGTGTGGGCTGGTTATGCAATACAGAAGATACTTCCAGGACTGTTTAGAAAATGGGTAATAACATGTGTTTTGAGACGACAGAAATGTTTGGAAGCAGTTTATAGGTATAGTTTAAGGGGATTTTGATAAGCTTTAGACAGAAATGTGTGATTTTAAAAGAGGAAGACAAAACAACCTCCGTCTGGTGCTGTGGTTAAGTAAAGTGTTGACAGGTGGACAAACATGCAACAGCACTTTTTTTTTTACTTTCCACTGAAATACCCCAGTAAATATGTTAAAACGAAACCGCACAGTTACCCCTGGGTCCTGAGTGACCTAAAAAGTCATTCTGAACACCTGGCAGAGTGATTTTATTGACTGTTGATGTTTTATTGCATCGCATTACGTTTTCTGTGATGCAAAGATGCTCTCAATGCATCAAAAGCAAAATGGATACACGGAGAGACAGACAAGGAGAGGAAAGGACAGCACGGTAGTGGGAAGTCTTGCTGTCTTTCTCTCCCTCTCTCTCTGCTGTTACAGAAATAGCACTGCGGCCCCTTCATTCCTCACCCTGCGAACCATGTGTTTTGTCGGAGTTTGGCAAGGGTGTCTGAACAGCGGTCAGTGGAGCTACAGCAACCTTAGCACAGCCTCACTAGCGTGGACTGCGCGTGAATTAGAAGGCATGCTGTGCCTGGTGCTGGTTGCTTCCATTGTCCAAAATGCATTGTCAGTCTTGTCGGGATACATTATCAATGTGATTTTTAACCTCCCATGAATATCAAATGAACCTCTTTATGTTCCTCTCTCTTTTTCTGCTTCTCTCCAGGGCCCTCTCCATGGATATAGACACGGACTATGAGCGGCCCAATGTGGAAACCATTAAATGTGTGGTGGTAGGGGATAATGCAGTAGGCAAGACCAGGCTAATCTGTGCCCGGGCCTGCAATGCCACCCTTACACAGTATCAGCTGCTCGCCACCCACGTGCCAACCGTCTGGGCCATCGACCAGTACCGTGTATGCCAGGAGGTGGGCACACACATTCACATAAACCCACATAAACACGAGAGCTCCATATAGACCCACTCCACAGTTGCGTCTCAATTCTGTGTATTGTTCATATGTATTCTAAAAATGTTGACAGTGCAAAATCTTTCAATACCACAAAAACACAACACCTTTTGACCTGCTTACAAAGATATGCAACTGTTTTTCAGGTACTGGAGAGATCTCGTGATGTAGTGGATGAGGTCAGTGTGTCCCTGAGGCTATGGGACACATTCGGGGATCATCACAAAGACAGACGATTTGCCTATGGCAGGTGAGCAGATGCATGCACAGTAAAAGGCACACCTGGGAACACGCTCCCCGTTTTCCAAGCGGGGCATCCAAATCAAATGCTTTGTCTTTAGTGTAGAGTTCTTTTATTTTCCGTTGTCGACGTAATTTCTTTGGCTAAAATGGTACCGGATTTTATTACGGGGCGGTTCAGGAGAAAGAAGATGACAATAAGAAGGCAATCTTCCGTCACACAGACGTAGCAATGCGCACATAACATTTACTTACCCAAAAGATGTTCTGTGTGATCCAGCTGCCACGCTTTGTAGTTGAACTCTGCTCTCAGGCTGTGACATCTTCCCTCCAGCAGACATGATTGGATCATCATTCTATCCTCTTAGTCCCAGTCCTTTTGTCAAAGCTGCTTTATTGGCAGGAAATGCAAAAGTACTTATTGCCAAATCAGCAAATACCAATTGGAACGCCGCTGACCAAACCTCACCACATGACCGTAACGCAGGAAAGTTGAAGATGGCATTTTGTACGTTCTCCGATGAGTCTCATTCATTGATGGCATTACATCAAAAGCCACAATCGGATACAAACATCCACACACATGTATGAACACACAGTCACACTGTGCCATCTTCTCCTTCCAGGGTGGCTGGATGCACTTTGTTTAACATGTCTCCCTTTGGCACGTGGGTCTGCCTGACAAGTTGTGTGTATCTCAGTTTGATGCTCAATTCCCTCCAGTCTGTTGTGTTCTTCCACTCCTTCGGTCTCTCTGTACATGTGTACATCGATCTGCCTCTGTGTGTGTGTCTGTTTTGCTGTGTGTGTGTGTCTGTCTGCATGTCCTGTTTGCTTTGTCAGCCTGGAGTCAGCTGATTAAGACATAGTGCGAGCTCAGCTGTTTTCCGCTCGCCTCCCTTCCTGGCGTCTGCATCTCCGGGCGTCAACCTTCTCCTCCTGCTGCTCCCCTTCCAGCCACGTTCTTCCACTCCTTCAACATGCCGCCTCGCCCAACCTTCCCTCTGGCTCTTCTCTAGCTCACCTCCCCTCTCTCTCCCATCTCTCCAATCGTGTAACTCGACTTCCACTCTCAGCCTTCTCTGTACTGGTGAAACTTTCCTGCTCCTACACCCTGTCCACACCTTGCCCACTCTGTAGCCCAAACTGCAAACATCACATTGTTAGACGATACCCACGCGGTCACATGCTTCTCTTAGGAAAGTAACTCTCTTGCAAAAACAACTAATATATACTTTAGTCAGCAGGATTTTGCAAAGAAAATACTAATATAGTTTGCTTGTTCTAAATAAGCAAAACAATATCATATTGTTGTGCTAAGCATTGTATTCCATACCTGTTTGTGCAGCCGGTTATTAAGTTTTTGTAATACTGTTAGACAGACTTAATGACTGATGAGTCAAGTGTTATACCAGGTTGTGTAATACATCTGTCTGCATGAGAGCCATTCATTGCTTTACTCCAACACAAAATCTGATTATCTAGGACATCTCTTCTGTGTGTGTGTGTGTGTGTGTGTGTGTGTGTGTGTGTGTGTGTGTGTGTGTGTGTGTCTATGTATGTTTCTCTTTTTATGTAATCTGGCAGCTGATGACCTTCGGTGTTTGGATCCACACGACACGCACACACACGTACACGCTAAAAACCAGTCACGGGATGAGTTATTTGTCATGCATTACTGCTCGTGGTAAATTGTGATAGACTCGCATGTAGATTAAACCTCTGCAGTACAAATGAAATGTATGAATGGATTATTCTGGTACTAAATTTAATTCCCTTGTTTTTTCTTTACTCTTTACTTTTGTAGGATTTGTCCAGATGGGATACGTTTAGAATATTTCTTGTACTCTTATTTTGGTACAGTTTTAAGCTAAAAAAGCAGGCAGCAAAGCTTAGGTGGTAAAAAAAAAAACTTGAGATACAAAGGCACGTACACATAACATGACCTCAAACAGACGGAACCATGGTAATGATCCTTTGGCAAAGTGCTAATGGAAAGTCTGTGTGTGTGTCTGTAGGTAGGTGTGTGTGTGTGTGTGTGTGTGTGTGTGTGTGTGTCTGTGTGATATGTGATGTTGTCCGATGGTAGTGTTGTGTCCTTGGGAGTAGGAGCTTTCAGACATTAGTGAGAGTAAAGTGGGACAATGAAATTTGTGTCAGTGTAACGCTGTAAAAATCAAAGCTGTGTGTCATAAAACGTAATTCAACCGGTTTCTCAGCTGCATTTTTGCACCTACAGGTCATTCAAGGACGTTTCTTTTTTTAACGCTGGGAACTCTTTTTAAAGTTAAAGAATAACAACAAGCAGATTAGATCAAGGTAATTTACAGTAGCATTGCCTCTACTAAGTAAACAGGCTGTGTTCGCTATCGCAGAGGAAGCAATGGAGAGGTGTTTAAGTAGTGTAATACTGCTCTCATGGTGTGATTTTCTTTTTTCCTCCTGGTGTATCGCGAGTACCAGACAAATTACAATAACAGGAATATATTTAATTCTCTGCAGGCTACCAATGATGGTTAATATGTAAGTTACATAAGTAATGCAAGTGCAAAACAGGGCTCCTTGTTACTTGTGCCTCTGGGGTCAAAGGGGTGTGTTGTTTTAGGGAGTTATAGATTATTACACGAGAAGTATTTTTGATACTGCAACAACCATCACATTGACACAGAGCTTGACAGGGACAGCAACAGGGAATAGCTGCAAGTGCTTGTTGAAACACATTGGTGTGTGTCTATCCTGATCTATTCTTAGCCTTCTCTTTGTGGTCCATGTAGTCTCTGAGGGCTTAAGGATATTTACGTAAGAGAGAGCGAGAAAGGGAGATGGGCCACGCAGTTAACCAGCCCAGATGCCCCAAAAAACTCCCATCACAGAGTCGCACACACATGCGCCTTGTGGCCGCGGCGTTATGATGACACTTCTGACGAACCCACAATGTCTTGAAGCAGCCGAACCAGCTTGTTCCACACACGTATCGCGCATGTTTTAACCTAAAGTGACAGGATTGTCAGTGACTCAGTACCGACCCCTCTTTTTGCTTTGCTCCATCAAAGGCCGCATGTCTTCTCTCTGCTGACATCTCTTGCTCATGACACAATAAATCTCCTCCTCTTTGCCATCTGTTTTCCATCCTATTTATGATCGCCGTTTAGGTTACAAGTATATGAAATAAATACTTTTTCCACCTCTCCGCTCCCTGTAGGTCTGACGTAGTGGTGCTTTGCTTCTCTCTGGCTAATCCCAATTCCCTGCGCCATGTACGCACCATGTGGTTCCCTGAGATCAAGCACTTTTGTCCCCGGACGCCCATCATTCTGGTTGGCTGCCAGCTGGACCTGCGCTATGCCGACCTTGATGCAGTCAACCGTGCACGCCGCCCCCTAGCAAAGTGAGACGTCTTCTTCATCATGCATTAGCTGTCAAATGTAGATGCAGTACGGTGGCTCTAGTTCACTAATGATATGTTTTTGCCGCTTGACGGTAACTGGATCACATCAAATAGCACCGATGTTGACAATTGCTCGACCTATTATTGATTTAAAGTTGTGATGAAAATCCTACCTGTATTTTTCGGCTGCTCCAGCTGTGTCCTTTTTTCCCAATTGTTCCATTATGAAAGTATTTAATAGTGTAAGTTGCAGTAAAATAATTATATAAATGGAGGTTGGCGAAATGTATTCTCATCTATAGACTTCACAAGAAAGAGTCTCAACGTCCTGGTTCCCTTTTACTTGTAGTTTTACTTTTTCCGTACTCTGAACACTGTCATCCTTACATCATTATCTTTTCATGTCACACAGACCAATCAAACCTACGGATATCCTTCCACCAGAGAGAGGCCATGAGGTGGCAAAGGAACTTGGGATTCCCTACTACGAGACCAGTATTGTTGCCCAGTTTGGAGTCAAAGACGTCTTCGACAATGCCATCCGAGCGGCCCTCATCTCCCGTCGTCACCTGCAGTTCTGGAAGTCACACCTGAAAAAGGTCCAGCGGCCCTTTCTCCAGGCGCCCTTCCTGCCTCCTCGTCCGCCTCGCCCTATAGTTGGAATTCCAGACCCGCCTTCCGCGGACGGGGAGGGCCCCGATTCCCTCTTCTGCCAGCCATTGTGTACAGATGTTCTTTTCCTTCTGCACAATGGGGCCACTCATGTATTTGCACACAAAGTATATCTGGCAACCTCCTGCTCCAAGTTCTATGACCTCTTCACCCTTGATCTCGGTGGATCATGCACGGGGCCACAGGGAGGGGAGCAGCAGGAGAACCAGGAAAACTTGGAGAGTGGAGAGGAAGATGAGCAGAGCAGGAGAGGAGCCAAGGAGCAAGCCGGGCGTACTAAGAGCCTGGACATTGATAACGACGGGAGGGATGGAGGAGCGCGGGGCCTTAATCGACCCCAGCTGCTTCAGCAGGGCTCTTTGAGGACTTCCCAGAGTGATAATGCGCTTCCCTCCCGAGCCCACTACTCCCTGGGAGCAATAGGGACCGGCCGAGCGCTTTTAGGGTGGGGAAGGGGCTTCCTGAGTGTGTGTCTTGAGCACGTTGACGATCCCATGACGGGACGACCACGACTCATGACCGTGGTAGCCATGGATGCTCTTATACAGGAGGAACCGTTCAAGGTGACTGTCTTATAGCACCGTGCAATAGAATGTGAGTCTGTTGATGTGAATGTTGTAAATTCTGAAATCGTTGTGTTTTCAGGCGGTGCTTCAGTACCTGTACACGGGCAGTCTGAACGAGAGCCGAGGCGACCTGATGCAAGTGGCCACCATCGCAGAGCTGCTCGAGGTGTTTGACCTGCGGATGATGGTGGCCAATGTTCTCAACAGAGAGAGCTTCATGAATCAGGAGATCACCAAGGCTTTCCACGTCCGCAGAGCCAACCGCATCAAGGAGTGCCTCAATAAAGGCACCTTTGCTGGTAAACCAATGTGCCAACCACTCAGTGCTTCCACGCTTGCAGTAGCATTGGTGTCATGGTAGATGTTTTCTGCACCAGTTGTTTATCTGTAGGTGTCTGCATGTGTGTGAGATTGTTTGTGGGAGTTTAAGTAGTGGTAGATTGTAAATGAATGGCATTCAATATTTAGCTACAATATTCTCTGGAAATAATACGTACCATTGAATATTTATATAATTTATATAACATGCTTTTCATACTCGTTTTGGTTTACTTGGTTTCTGAAGTCCGTTTAAAGGCATCAAGTGTTTTTGATGACTGTTTAGGTCTTTCCGGTTGTCCTTTGTTTGTTGTTGTTTACTTCCTTGTGAGTTGTCTGTGCGTGGTGTTGTCTTCTCATCTAAGCTCTTGTGTTTTTTTAGAACATTTACAGCCATCAGCCATCAGCTGTATCTGAACAAAGCGTGTCTCATATTTACATCTTCCTGTAATTATTATTATTATGGATTATATTGATGAATCAAGTAGAAACAACTGCATTGTCAGATCTGTTTCATCGCAGTTAATATTCAAGCATTTATTTTAAGATGAATAATTATTTTGCTTTCAGATTTAGCTTAATGCAACATTGATACAGTTATGTAGTTGCTCTGTTTTTCTCCATAATTTCCCTACCGAAGCTCCTGTCCAGATTCCACACAGGATTTACTTCATTACCTCCTGACCCGCGTCTGCCCTCCTTCCCCATACTCTGTGTCAAACGCTGTTCTGCCCTTCTGTCAATTTATCTCTCTGTCTGTCTACCTGTGTCTCTGTGTCTGTGTGTGTCTGTGTGTGTGTGTCTGTCTGGCCTTCTGCCTGTGTGTGTGTGTGTGTGTGTGTGTGTCTGGATGTCTGCCTTGTCTGTGTTTCCCCCTCTGTAGCTTGGGCTTCTGTGGCACTCCAAGAGATGAATGCTCTTTTCCCACCCCGGTTTTAGATGTGGTGTTTCGACTGGACGACGGCTGCCTGCCGGCGCACAAGCCCCTGCTCATCTCCAGCTGCAGCTGGATGGCCGCCATGTTCCGAGGTTCTTTCATGGAAAGCTACATCGAGGAGGTGAGTTCAGATACGATGGGCACAATCAGCGTAATTGTGCAATACGATATGATTATTACTGCCATGCTAATAATGTTAGTGTTGTTTTTCATATTGCATTAATATAGCCTCTAGTTTTTAAAGGGATCATGTCTATCGAACAACTCTTCAATCCCGATACTGTGTGCTAATTGATATAGTCGTGATGATAACAGAGTAGCCCGGCTTGACTTGTACATCCCCCTTAAACACTTGAGACTTGACTTGCCAAACGGCATTCTCCATGTGGTGGATCTGGTTACTTTAGGTGTGCTCTCTCTTACCTGCGGTTCAGCTTCTGAATGCTTGGGGCACCGCGCAGCAGACTTGACCTTATCAGAGGAACAAGTTCATGTCTCCGTCTGTCTTTAAGTCGCCTCTCTCGGGGCTGTGTTGCTGAACCAGATCCTCTGGGGTATGATTACTTTAACAGTCAGTGGGGTTAGTTTACATGGATTCAGGCCCTCAGAAGAATTGGAAGTAATCAGAGAGCGAGAGGCAAGGAATACAATTTTTGCGTATCCAGTTAATGTGTAAAAATGTTGGAAGAAAACTAAACAATTTAGTTATTTTCTGTTGCCATGTAGGTAGCCTGGATTTTATTCCAGAACAGATCCCGTGAGTAGGTGTTAAAAAAGCCTCTGCAGCTTTTGTTAACGGTGGTGAACACAGGACACGAGGTTCACTGAGGGGGCACAGTGTTTGGAGCTGATGTGCTACCAGTGTCTATGGTTACTCTAAATGGTTCATGTTGGTGGCTACTGTTGCATTGCTTATGCCATGGACCTGGCACAGAGTAGAAAGCAGCTGCGCTGGACACAAAGACTCTAAAGACTAACTTAAACTTAAACTGTCGGCAACTGTGTTTATGAGATTAAATAAAGTAATCGGAATTTCTACGTTGGTAAAACTGCTTTGTAGCGTAAAGCATTGAATGTGATTGTATATGCCAAGCTGCAGTCACCCAGTTGTCTGCTGTCTAAAGTTAATTTATTGCTTATTTAACCGGCAAAGACGTGAAGTACAGTTTGCCTTTACAGAATTGCCATGAAGTTGACTCACACTATTGAACTCACCTTAAGTTACTCAGTTACACAGAAATACAGGGAACATCTTTCAATGGCAAGATGAGTCCATGACTCATTTACCCAGTTTTTATACCCGGCAATATTCCCAGACTTGCAGTACCAGTCAGAAGTTTGGACACACTTTCCCATTGAATAGTATGAGAAAATGTGTTCAAACTTTTGAGCGGAAAATGTGATGTCTTTCTACAAAATACATCACATTAGATCAGTTAGTTTAGGTCATTGCAAGACACAACAACAGGAAAATGTAACCGTTGATTGCAGACTATCATCATATTGCATGTGTTCTCTTCTTTTATGTCATATAACCTGTAATTATAACTGTGAGAGTCACATATGATCAGTCCTTGCTGTTCTATAATCATGCTCAGATCACACTTCTCAGTATTTCTAGGTTCCCACATTTCTGTTGTGACGCTGTTTTATAATAGAACTCTTCTAGTTCAGTGCAGAACAGCATTAAGACATGGGTCCAAGCATAATTTATTGACATTATCATCAGTATTGCTTCATTGGTTTTATCAACATTATAGATACACAATGAGCATGTTTGTAAAAAGGCCATGCATCATCAGTCATAGTTCAAATATATGGGTTTGCAGTCAATTACCAGGAATCAAACGGTAGGTTTTCTGTGGGCCATCATACGTCCTACTGCTGAGTGCGTCATGGTGGTCCAACCCTTTATATATTAGGTGTGTACCACCATTTGCATCCCAGCGGACTAGTACCAAGTTGTCAAGTCTGTAAAGCTCCTACATCTTGAATTTAAAATTTGAGGTGCAATGCAATAAAATACAGGTGAGTGTGATAATGGTTCTTTTCCTTAATTGTGGATGTGTCCACTCATTAATACTTCCTGGCCACAGTTGGGGCTCCAGGGACCACCCTTGTCGTTGTGTAACGTTTTTAGTCCTAACGAGAGGTCGCACCAAGCTGACATTCTCCTAATTGGCCATGGCAGTGGAAGTTGAAGAGCCTCTCAGTGGGTTCACTCGGAGAGCTCCTGGAGGGGCAGGTCATCTGGCCTCTTTCTGTTTGCTGCTTGCCGTTGTTTGTCTCACTCTGAGCAAATATGAACACAAAAGGTCTTGCTTGCTTTAGTCATTTATGTATATAGCTGCCACCTGTGTTGTGGACCTAAAAGCATATTGGCTAGTGCATGTATGGTATGGCGACATCTAGAGGTCATGCGGGGGGATTGTCCATCTTTCATGGTTCTGCACTTTTGCCCCACTAAAGCCCTTGTTGTTTGATAATTATAAAAACGTGTTGCTGTGCGTGGCCCAGTCGACACTAATGGTCACTTCCATTCGGGCTACATGGGTTGGTATGTCCTATGCTCACATATTATTGTCACTCATTGTATGAGCATAATCTTTCTGGGTAGAACATTGATAGTGTGAGTGTTTCATTTGTTAAAAGGGTCCAAGCAGAGTGGCCTGTTGTGTGCTTTTGGGTCTTTCACAATGGATCATATTGCTCACATCACTAGCCCCAAGACGGCGCTTTCATGTGAGCTTAGATATAAAAGACGGCTAACAGAACAGCATGTCCTCTGCCCTTTACCTCCAAATACACACTGCGCAGCTTTAACTGATGTCATTGTCCCTTTTTGAAGTTTGCTAACTTTGAACTTGTTGAACCTGTTTGAACATCGCTAGCTATTAGGCTGACAATACTATACTACATAATTGTGTATATATGATTTAGTATTGAATTCTAATGAAAATGAACTATCTGTACTTGTGTCCATTTTTGTATTCCAGCTCTTCTTTCCTTATCTTTTTAACGTTTTGTTTTGTGTCTCTGATCTGGTCATTTTGCAGGTATCCATTCCTAACACCAGTGCGGCCTGTATGCACGGGGTCTTGGAGTTCCTGTACTGCGGCCTGTTGACACCCTGTACTGGTCTGGAGCCCATAGAACTTATTATCCTCGCCAACCGCCTGTGTTTGCCCCGCCTGGTTGCCCTCACAGGTACAGACCTTCTCTACAGAGTGAGAAATGCTGCGAGAGAAGCACTCACTTCAACGTCTTCTTTCGCATATATGTTGCAAAATGGGGTTTTGGTCAATCTTTATCAGGCAAAACACTCCTTCTCATCAAGAGTCAAAAGATTGTAGTCTGTTGCAAACGGCCGGACAGACTGCAAATGTATCACTGGGAGAAGAAGAGTGTGGTGCATGTAAACAGTACTATTGACATGATTATGTGCATTTTATCCATTTCCAGAACAGCACGCTGTGGACGAGCTTCTCCATTTGACAGCAAAAGGAAGCGACATTGATGGACAAGTGTTGGCTTACCTTGAGCTTGCACAGGTCTGTTCAAAAAAATCCATTCATATTTCACAATTTAAGGCCTCTAATGTCACAGCTGTAGTAACTATATTCATTCCTGTATCTTTTTTTTTTTTGTAGTTCCACAATGCCAAGCAACTATCAGCTTGGTGTCTCCATCACATCTGCACTAATTATAATAGCATCTGCCGCAAGTTTCCCAAAGACATGAAAGTCATGTCTCCAGGTACGGCCACCTTGCCTCTCTCGGCCCTGATAATCGTCCCAACCGGCTCCCACACATGCAGCTTTCACTTAGATTAGATTTTCTAGGTGAAGCACGCTGCTAAGGAATAATGGCATGCTGTGACTTGTTCAGAGTAAGCACATAATTTGACTGAAAGAGATTGCAAGGAAGCCAAAAAGTAAATAAATATTTGCAGGACGAAAAATACGAGCACCTGACGAGCTTAGCTGATGTTACCATGGTGAAGCCCAACAATGACTAAAATTCTAATCACTTTAATCTCAGGTTTTTTATTGGTAATCGTTATAATCTTTATTGACCTCTCCGTGCTCATTTGTGCTTACGCCTTTACATTACTGTTGGCTGTGTCCTTACGTCACCTTTTTGATAAAACAATTCTTACACAGTCACGTTACAGATGTTTAAAGTCCCCTCTGTACATCTGTCTCCCCACCGCTGCAGAAAACCAGAAGCACTTTGAGAAGCAGCGCTGGCCTCCTGTGTGGTTCCTGAAGGAGGAGGACCGCTATCTGCGCTCTCAGAAGGAGCGTGAGCGTGAGGAGGAGATCTTGCGGAAGCAACACAACAAGAGGGGCTGGTGTTTCTGGAGGCACCCGTCCTCCTCCCCACACGTCTCCTAAAGGGTTTCCTCAATTAACATCTTCCTCCAAACCTGGGTCATCCTACACAGGATAACTAACCCCTCCTCCTCAATATACGGAGGCGGTCGACATTGAACCCTCCATTATCACTATATAAATGACTCTCAGCGCTACTATGCCTGAATGTCAGCGTGTTTGAGGGAATGTATTTGCCTCTTTATAATTATGGGTGACTTATTGGGTGCAATTTTGCAACAAGTGTGGACTTAACTGAAGGTTATGTGAAACGGATTTGTGAGTGCGAATGTTTGCGGTTGGCATGACCTGAGGGATGCTTTCTGAGTTGAGTGCTTCTGACGACGCCCTGATCTACAAGGCCCCTGCAGCGCTGCAGAGTAGCCCCTTGTCCCTTCCAAACAAGCTCCGTCCCTCCACCAGCACTTGCAGTGTCCCAGAATTTGAGTGGTTGGACTGAGAGCAAGGGCTCTCTACTCCTCTCAGCCTCCTTCCTTCACATTGACCTTAACGACCATGACTCATTGACCACTGCAGCTCCTCTCGGGGAGCTCACCTCTGCCTTCACTTCTATGTAGACTGTTAGTTTGCACACGTAGGCTGGTGCAAAGTATTCACCCCTCTAAAACCAGCACAGGATTACAAGGAATAGACACTTAGCAATGTAATTATTTACTATCTTGATATTATTTGACACATATTATTTGATTTACACACTGCTCCCACAAAGTGTTGAGAACCTTGATTGGCATTGCAACAAGTGTTCCCGAGCCCAGGTTGTGGTGCAAGGACAATCTTAAAGCCGTCAGCAAGTTGGGATAGTCTAATCGGGGGTCTTGATCATAGCTATTTGCCTCAAGTCGAGTACTGAAGTAGTCGTTGGGGTCCGTCATCCACCTCTGCACTTCCTCCCCCCTCCTCCTACATGCAACACGTGCAGAAAAAGCAAACGAGTAGCTCTCCTTGAAACAAAAGGATGAGTGGGTAAAGAGGGACAGCCTTACTTGATACATCTGCCATTGAGGAATGATGGATTCATTCAGTACTTGTTATGTAAATGACCACTTGGTTGCAAGCATCCAGCCTGCCTTTACACCCCTAAACCACTAGGGGCAGCATTGCTCAGGGCCCTGGCACTAACCTTCACACTAACTGACTTTAGTTGTGCCTATGATTGCTTCACTCAGTCCTCTAGAACAGTATAGCTTGAATTGTTGCAGTGTTGTAAGAAAGGAAAAGCACAGTGTTTTTAGTGCATTTGAAACCAGACTGTAACCAGACTTCTGGATACCAAAGCTGTGATTCCTTTGATCTATTTCTTCCTCACGGTCTTCATTTCTGCTTCCCCACTTCTTTTATTGATAAGAGGGGATGGAGGGGAAAAGAGAAAGTGGCTTACAGGAGAAGGAGGCAGTACGTTATGGTATTTAAAGGCCTTCTCGGGTGGTGTTTCCTGTCTATCGTGTCAGACAAGAAAACCAGCTTTCACTGCTGGACGATGCCTTCCATTCCTCTGGCTGGAATTGAAAATGGTGCTTCAATCCCGATGAGACAGTGTCCACATGAACACACAGACACATTTTTTTTTTTCACAGTTAAACCTCTGTCTAGTCTTTTAGTGTTTACCAGCAATGAATGTGCAGAATATTGATGATGATTTCACACCATTTTTTCAAAATGAATTTTCTGCTTTGTTTTAAAGTAGCAGTCTGTGTCATGTCTGCATTTATATCTAGTTGTTACAATGTTATAGTGTATTTAACTACTTTTAAGGTTAAAATCTGTAATGCTTCCCTTTGAGATTAGAGTTTGCATGGGGGGCCGTCTTAGAAGAACTGCAGATGAGATCTGATTTTCCTTGTTAAGTGTGGTCATTTCTTTGCGCTTTAGCACTGAATGTAAAAACGAGACTTATTGGCGATGGCTTTCTATTAGCACTTCATTCTGTCTGTGGGTTCACGCCCCTCCGCTTTAACCAGACCCAACCGTAGGAGATAGATGGATTGTGTTAGACATGTGGTGCGTTCGGCCGTTCTCAAGAGAGAGGCGCGTTGCAAGTAATTGTTGGCTACCAAAATAGCAGTCAGACCGGATTTCACGAGACCCAAGTGAGAATTGAGCTGATTCCTCTCTAAAGTGTGAAAGCGGAGTGAAAGTGAAGGAGTCTCAGTCAGTATTGCATGCAACCTGAATCATTTGGAATTCATCCACGGATATTTTGAAGTCATCCCAGTGCTTTGGGAATTTAGAAATGAGACCTAAGGAGGAATAAAATGAGGTCAGTTTTTTGATGGACTTCCATGGCCTCCTTTTGGTTCCCCAGAGACTGGCTGCTGGATTCATCTAATTGATGGTTTGTATGAACCATCAAAACTTTTCTCTTGGTCCGTGTGCCTTATAGTTAGCAAAGAATAAAAACTAACAACCAGCAACATTGTAGTTAAAACCTGCAGACAGGTTCTGCAGTGGAAGGCATGAGAGATACTGTAATCATGGCCGTCATAATGTTACAAGGGATCGGTTGCTTTATGCTCACTTTCCCGTTATTCTTCTTGAGTCCGGAGTCATGCCTGACAAGAAGCGTAGGTCCTGTTTTTACACAGACAAACTAAAATTAAACTCTCTGGGAATTACTTGGATGGCAGATTCTCTCTCCGTTGACCAGATGATTTAGAGGAAGTGATTGAGAAACGGGTTGATTCCTGTATGCTAACTTTGAAACCAGACTTTGAGAAAGCAAAGCTTTTTATTGACCACTGGCTGGTCTGTGTGTTGTGTTGTGGGAGAGCAACCACTTTTGTAACGTGGTTATTTTGCATGGTGGCCTAACATTGTCACTATAATGACACTCGGTGTTGGAATGCACTTTTTTGTCTTTGACTATAGCTTTCTGTGCTTAGCATGAATTATTCCTTATGTGAGATTGTTTCCTAAAACGGATGATTGTAGCACGATATTTCCACTTCTTCTTCTTCAGCCTTTCAGAATTTTCCAGGACGTGCTCAGTGAGGAGCTGAATAAGTCGTGTTCAGCTCGTGGGTTAACGTCTAGCGGGGTTAACAGTAGCTGTCTGTGGCGTTATGCACAGATTTAAGTAAGATCAGCAAAGCTCGACGCAGCATTTTACATGTTTGAATAACATGATGGAACATTTGTTTGAAAAACTAACGCAATCAATCTTATTCTTTTTTATTTTCATTTCAAGACTGTCCTTAATGGCTGAAAGCAAAGTGTATGTTTTGGTAAAGCCTGTATGAAATGACACAAGGTTTCTGTATACTATAATACATATCGCTAACTTTTAGTTCACGGGAATTAAGTATTTGCTAATTAGTAGTGTGAAGATGGACAGAGATGGAGAGACAAAGATGCAACATTTAAACCTTGTTAGCTTTGAACAGCCCTCAATATTTGCTCCTGACCCCTTTAGGCCAAAGTCACCCTGACATAGGGTTGTATTATTCATGTGGCTGGTCTTGTTGTATCTTAACACATCCTCTTTACTGTAACTTTCTTCTTATTCATCTTTTGCGGAGACTTTTCTTTCTTCTTAGCGGGCCCGACTTTTCTTTATCTGTAGGTGTCTCCTTTGCGGTGCCTTCAGTAAAATCCCACACTTTTGGCTTTGTACACTTTGGCGATACTACACCTGCATCCTTCTGGTCTCACAATAAAGTTGATTAAGGCAAGAAATACACACACATGAGAGCAAAGATATACAATCGGGGAGCTTTCTTTGATGCAAAGTATCGTTGCATTGTTACTGGCTAACGTCCACTGATGACACAGATATGGAACCTTGCAAGCTCAGTATGTAATATCATCTATGCTAAAGCAGCTTGAGTTATGAAGTGACCAAGAAACCCAGCAAACCAGCCGTTTTGAAAAAAATATTTTTGCACTCTCAGGTGCCTGCACTTTTTATTATGTAGCCTAAAACAACTTTTTTGATAAGTGAGCTGAAGTTTTGTATTTAACACTTTTCTTGTTCAAAATTGCAATATCTTATTACTTTTCCACTTTCTTGTGATCCGTCTCTCTCTAAGCCAAATGCAATAGTATACTCTAATGCTTCCAGAATTTAGCTGCAATGTAATGTGTTGCAATCATGCATGAAGTTAGTGTATTCTAATTTGGCGAACAGCGTCTATGGACTACTGGTTGGATTGGGGACAGATATTAGCTGTGACAACTATATATATTACCACTTTAATGAATATAGTTTTTATCTAAAGTACAGTGTTGTAAATTTGACTCTCATGCCATACTGTATCTACAGTATTTAGTAAGCTCTTATTAATGGGATGGAATGGACGGAGAGGCACAGCACGGGCAGTCTTTATACAGACATGCATGGTGTGATTAACCCCTGGTCTCTTGTCATATACTGTATAATAATGGTATGTTTGCTTCCATTGACTATAGTGTGTATTATATTAAAAGGCGAAAGAACGAGCACACCAAACTAACAAACTATTAAGGGCTTTCAAGAAAATATACAACAATCAGAATGTGTTTCTCCTTTTGCAAATAATGTTTTGAGAAAAATGTTTTGTCATATTTTTGAACCACTGTGATTTGTACAAAATTTACAAAAATAGAAAAAGGAGGGTTTTTTTCTTTGCCATTTCAGTATTTGGATGTTTGACATGGATTTAAATAAAACAGTTTTGAACTTGTCTGATTTGTTTGTAATTGTGTGTTATTCCCTTAATTTCCTGAAACCTAATTAATGTTACTCAATTTAAATTTGCAATTACAAAGAGGTTCATCAAGGTTGAAATCATTAAGATACCAAAGGCTCCCAAAGACACTTGTGCATGTGAAATGTTTATAAATTTGATTTCCTATCCATTTTACAAATAAATATTTTTCATCAGGCCATTTACTGCACAGTGAACTAACGATGTATTGATCAATCATATGCAAAGAATGTATTCGTTAACAAGTAGACAGAATAAAGTCTAAAAAAAGTTGCAATGCAAATATTGAAAGCAAGAAAAACCGCTTACACATACTGCAAATCTGATACAGCTGTGTCACCTAGTGGAGGAAAAAAGCACTGCGCAATCTTACTGTGTGAGACGGACAAAAAACACAATTGTTATGAAGTTGTTTACATGTACAAACTATCTAGATCTTTTTCTGACTAAAACTAAAAAACCTCATACAGAACTGCTGGTAGGCCTTTAAATCCTGTTTCCAGTTGGTGGTCTGCAGACTTTTAGTGTGTGATTCTTTGAATGCTCCACGAGACCCAGAGCTGAAGCCCTAACACATGCAAAGGATCACAGATATTTACCGTGGGCCGCTGTCAGGAGATCCCTGCAGCATTAACTCATGTCAAGCAGCACACTGAAATTTGTCTTCCTCCGTTATCTTTACTGCCTTATTTTTTCAATTTCAATATTAAAAGCGGTCTTCAAGATCAGCTAGCAGTTGCCTTCTTCCATTTTGAGTATTCTTTTATTTTATTTTCTTCTTGATACTTTTGATCAAAGAGGGACTGTAGTAGAAGCAGAAACCCACTGGTAATCACCATCAACATGCAGTGAGCTGAGACCTTTAATAGAGAAGGTCCAGTAAGAGATCTGAGGAAGCCACAGAAACACGGGGGGGAGAAGGCCGAGTGTTGCCATGGGGATGTCCAGTGATGTGGCTGATGAGGAGTAACCTCATAAGAGTGATGTGGGAAGGTCGTGGCGCGGTATTGGGAAATATATCATTATGCCGTCTTGACACGTGTGTTTGCACTTGGTAGTTACAATCACAGAAAAGCACAGTGGTGAAGCTGCCTGCCATTCCTTCTAAATGGAAGGAATTTGCTAGCGTGCTTTTTGCAGCTCGAGCATTGGTTTAAACATTGTTTACAGACTTTAATGCTGCATCAGCTGTCTCATCTATCGGCTGTGTCCAAGTTTCTCACCAACCAACTCACAAACTCTGCTCTCGCACCGCAGCCTTGGTGGAACACAACTCGAGTATCAAACACACAATGACGTCGCCACATCTGGCTCTCATTTTCCAGGGTTCCCTCTGGAGCCGATAAGAAGAAGAAGAAGAAGAAGAAGGGAGAAAAAGACAAAACACTGTCTTACAGCTGAGAATGCACAATGTAAGCGCGTTTTTATCGTAATCAAATACTGTACAAACAGATCTTTGCTGGTGTTTGTGTATCTCAAAGAATAACATTGAGGAGTGAAAAGAAGCTTTAAACTTCAGAGATGATGTACAGTATGCTTCATCAAACGTGGAACATCTCAGTGTTTCAAGGCTGTTCCAGTTTGGACACACATGCCATGGACAATTTATTAAAACGTGGTCTAACAAGAAACTCCAAACATGTAGGTCCATTGCAAGAGGAGTGACACATTCCTTTGTATATTTCACCCTCCTCCAAGTGCCATCTCATCTTCATGTTGTTGGTCCAAACCTCCCCAAACTCTGCTCCACAAAGGAACCGGTCTTCCCCTCCGCTCACACACACACACACACACACACACACACACACACACACACACACACTCCTCTAAATCAGGGCCTCTCAAAGGTAAGGTTTGGGCATACTTTATCATCCCGACACCTCTAATTTAAGGTCTGTTTTGAATGGAAAAGCAGACAAAGGGCTCCTTTCTAAACCGAGATTTGTTCTCTCGTTTTATTTCCACGTAACCCTGCCAGTTGTTTACGCTTGGAATATTCCATTGAAGCAAGACAAACTCCTCAAAATCGTATGTTTACTGGGAAGGAGGGGGACAAAGTTAAGTGGACAACAAAATCATGCTATTTTTCAATACTGAACTTAGGAATGCGTGCACACAAAGACACACACACGCACTCATATATAATCTCAAACTCAGGGGAAAATATCTTGAGTTTTTTTGAGAGTCTGCATAGCTGAGCAGTGACGAGAAGATACTAAGATTCACCGAGAATGTGAAAATACTTCTCTCTCTGCAAGAGAGTGCGCTGTCATTTGCTTCTCTTTCTCTCCCCTAATAATGCCTTTTGTTTCAAACTTTTCCAAATTCCTGGTATTTTCTTCTCACACCAATCCTGAAGAACCTGAGTTCACCTCAACTGTCCTTCAGCCCCCAATCATGGTGTTGTTAGTCCGCACCAGCTGCTGCTGTACATGTTTGAGTCCAGCTGTCAGGTAAATGCGCGTTCACAAGATTGTATCACCCCTGACCGACCAACTCAGTTGTATCATCGGCGCTCTTTGAGTCTCTCCCACATCCACCTCATTATCATCCTCCATTGGAGCAACAACACGACTCCTCCACCGAGCTCAGCGTTGCCGTGAGAGGGAGGAGGGGGAATAGAGATTCCAAACTGCGTTCACGCTGCTGGAGCGAACCACCCACACACACTCTCTCACCGACACAACACGTAATACAGTGAACTAGAAAATGGACTTTTAGGCCTTTGATCACGTTCAGAACGTTGGAACTTGCAATCCGCGCTGCCAAGGAATCGGGGTCGGGTCGGCATCCAGGACACGGTCCAACCGCACGACCCCGCTGCTCTGCAGCAGCCAATCGGCTTGTTGCTCCAACGAAATCCCGACTGCCCGAATCCTAAATGGTCCCCAGTGACAGTAGCTAGTCGATACATTTTTAAGCACAAACTGAAAACACACCTCTGCTGACGTTATCCAGGTAGTACTTTATTAACACTTAAGGTGACACTTACTTGTAGTACTTGGTAGTTTGGCTTTCTTGAAGAAATTGTATTTCCTTGATTCTTGTTGTTCTGGGTCTGAACCCTCATGGTTGAATCCACTTACGGTTAGTCAGCTAAATGAAATTGAATGTTTATTATGGAGTATGTAATAGTATTTGTGTCATACACATTCAAGTAACCTTCCCAAATGGACTTACACCAAATGCCTAAAGACATCAGCCCAACATTTCTTATCACATGGAACTTCTAGAAGATTGATGCATAAAATATGCCATAAAATATCACACTTCCTAGAAAACGGCCCAATTTAAGGAAGGCATATTTATTTCTAGCCTTTTAAAACATCATAGAATTAGCAATGAAACATCAACTCTAGTAATGTTGGTTTAGACAAGCTAGTTGGTTTAAACCATGGGATGAAATGTACACAAAGGTCTTGTTTGAAATACACCTGGCACAAAAGGCTCTTAAACGGCTGGACACAGTCCAGCACATGCTGTAAAACAGTTAATTCACGAGATGACTGGGTAATGTGACAGGAAAGGTTTTATTGACAAGCTCAACTGAGGATTGCAACCCCTGCAAATATACGTAACTGCACATGCGGGTGATCCTGCCGCTCACAGCAAGCGTTAAGATCGGTGGAAAACATTACTAGTGCAGTAGGACAGCAGGAGGAGCTCAAAGCTGTGACCCAAACACATCTCTGACCTTTTCACATCCCCCATCAGATCTGGGCATGTATAAACCTGCCTCACAAGCAGCCCCAGGAGAGAAAAATCCATTCCTATACAAGGAAGTGGTTTCTTTAGTGGCGGAAGTTTATTGTGTCAATTAGAGGGGGATTGCGTCGTGCAATTATTGGATGGTAGAGCAGTCACAAGTACATTAACGTGTTAAAAATCAATGAATGATCTGAGACTCTTACTGATGAACGGATTCAGGATGAAAGATTGAGCTGGGAAGCTATGAGAGGATGTTGCGCGTCACTCACACTCTGTCAGGAAGGCAGGAAGCTGGACAAAAAGCCAGTCACAATTAGAGGGGTTTCAGTAAATGAGGAGAAAATTCCCATTGCGGGCGCACACACACACACACACAAAAACACACACACAAACAAAACACACACACACACAAGTCTCCAAATCTCAACTGGATATACAATCATTATCATCATCCCTAGATTTACACCCCCTCTCCAACAACAGCTGCCACCGCACCCCAGCAAAGGAAATGCCAAAGTCCTCTGAAGTGGAGCATGGCAGCATTGCAGTTCATCTCCACAGTGAAGCAGCCTGTCTAGAGGGGCAGGAGAGCCTCTAATAGCAGGAAGTAGTAAGAATAATAGCGGCATGGGGACGCCGTGGCCCTGTCCCTCTGGCTTGTGAGCTTTGGCCCGAACCGCAGAGTCTGTTTGTGCTACACGCTTGATTAGACGACTAATGCAACATCTGAAACACTGAGTGTAGTGTGATGCCAAGTCTGTGACTTTTTTACTAGTTCTTTAACAGCGGAGTAGTCCTTTATTTTAAAGGGGTTTGCTTTTTAAAAACTGAAAGATTTGTACTATAATTTTACCTGACTGGTTTCCCAGAAAGAAAGCTACAATCCCAACACAAAAAAACTAAAAGATACAAAGATGTAAATAGTAACTTAAAAAGAATGTTATATTATGTTTCTAAGTAACTGCGTTGGGTAACTTAGTCAATTCTAAAGTGTTATCATGAGAGTTGTTTGCAGACCAAATATTACCAGTGAAAAGAATGGCATGACATCGTATGTTAGGAAAATCATATGTAACTGGGTCAAATCCAGACTCAGTGTGAGTCTCACACATTAGAAAATAAAATCCCATATGACTAATCCATTGCATCTGTGCTGGATTATCTGAGGATGGCTGCTAAAGAAATGACAGAGTTTAGGAACATTCCCATAATTTAAGATCCTAAACCCACATGCCACTGACCCACAGTCACATGCCAGTGCACTAGTGTTAAGGGTGTGTGTGTGTGTGTGTTCACGTGTCTGCAGGGAGTTGGTCTAGATTTTAGAGCTTGTGTGTGTGCGTGCATGTGTGAGCCTATGCACAACAGTGTCTGTGTGGGATTGTGTAGCCACTTGGGCATCCATTGAACAGACCCCTAGCCGTTGTTAAACACCGAAACAGCCTCTTTTTTTTATATGCAACCTGCTGCAGACTCAGTTCCCATGAAATTGGCCCTTCTTTAGCTCATTCACAGATGGACTGCACTGTAAATGGCTTCTCTGGAGTCTGCCACAGGTCAGTGGGGGACAATTTAAAGACCAAATGAGAGACTGACAGATCCAAAGGTGCCGCACTGCCCCCTGTAGCCGCTCGAACCAACAGTTCCTCTTATTGAATATTGCGCTCCAACAATGGCTTAAGAGATCTCAATCAAAATCATTTAAAAATAAATACATACCCCATTGTATTGCCCTATACAATGTTGTACATCAGCTGTCATTGATTGGCTGTTCTGATTGTAAGTAAATAATGTTGATGAGGTGCAAATCTCTAGAGCTCTGCTTTGCTTTAAAACAAAGTGAATGTTTCAAACATGAGCAATCAAATCACCTCCCGAGTCACCGAGCGAACTTCGCGATAAGGGCGACGCATGGGAGCTGTGCGTGTGCGGCTGCTGAGCAGTCTCCTCCAAGTGACCCAATAAGTCATTACGCTTTTCCACTCTCTCAACGGGAGGTGGGGCTTTGTAGCGAGCACGCATTCTACACCCTGCTGCACAAAGAGCACTTTTGCAGTCGCAGTCTCTCTCCACGCTGTGAGTGCGTAAACGCCCGCACAGACCCGCTCCAATTTTGGGAACCGAACTCCGCATCGCATAATAAAAAAAGAAACAACAACCCTGCATTCCTTTACCGCTGCGTCCTCGGCCCCGGACGACCCCTCGGTGTTTCTTTTTTTTTTTTTTCACAGCAGATACTCTGAACCCGATACCCGGTCGGGAAAAGTGAAGAAAGAAGCTGCGGGAGTGGTCTGGAAACTTTTGCCATCATGAGCTCGCAGACGGTGAACCTTGATACCTACAGCCTGTCTTTGCTCACGGCTAAAGAGGACATCCTCAACCTCCGTTCCTCCACCAACTGGTAACACAGAACTTGCATCCGTCTGTCTTAACACAGCTCTTATGTAGGATCTGTATGATGATGAAATGCCAATTTTGTAATTCTGCCATACGAGCAGGATCGTTCACTTTGGTGAAACGCCCATGTTGTGTTAACTTTGTGAGCCGGTTCGCTGTTGCATAAAGAGGTTTGATTTCAATGAATCCCACGAGGGATGCGGAGGTGTCCAGCACAGGGACACTACGCAGCCTGGACTACCTTTACAAGTAGGCTAGAGTAGTGACATGTGCATGCCAATTAGTTTAGTGTCACATATTGACTGCGGCCCAGCCGCGCTGCGGAGCTGCTGCCAGGTGTGGATTACCGTCCTTTACGCACGCCAGGCGGCTGGTGTGGCTGAAAGGCGGTGCTGCTTCGCCCGGGCCCGACTCTCCGTGCCTTCATTCTTTGTGCCGAGGATCATGTAACTGTCCCCGGCCGATCCCTGGCAGGGGTTTTCCTTTCAGGGAGAGGCCCTGAATAACTAATAGTAATGGCGATGAGAATATTGAGAGCTTAGTTACATGTTAGTGTAGGTTAGTCAGGCCAAACTATTAGATATTAATAAGCATTAGTACTATTACAGTGCAAGCAGACCCATTTAAGTGATTTTATAGCTAGATAACTTTCAAGGGGGAGTGTAGAGATGATTCATGTAACTTTAACAAGTTCATGACAAGTTTAAATAATGAATTAATTGTGCTCTGGTGCATGTGGAACAATGCCATGCTGACTTCTTTTGTTACAGGGTTGGGCTGGTGTGTAACTATGGGGAAACTATCCATCTTTTCCAAACAATACCATTCTCCTTGTCTTCTACTCATATGTGTGTGTGTGTGTGTGTGTGTGTGTGTGTTTGTGAATGTGTGCCATCTCCAGCTACGGACATATCATCACAATACTTTCATTAAGAGAAGAACATAGGCCAAAGCCCAAGCCCACACATATGTGTGCTCATGTGGAAGCAGAGGTCTGGGTCTTGTTTCTTGTTTCATCTTCCTCTGCCTCACATGTCTCACTCCCCACATTGGTCCCACCTTCCTGGCTTTTTCAACGAAGCCACACAGACTTGAGGAAATGGTATTCAACACCACGAGTAAACCTTGACTTGCTGAAATCTTCATGAATGGGGGTGCAAATAAGTTCTCCATCTAAGCAGAACTTAGTTTCCATTCTTCACTCAAAGTTTCCATGTCCAGTATCACAACGGAGGTTTGTCCCATAGCAACGCCTCGCAGTCCTCATTTCACTGCTCCAGCAGTTGCCCGATGGAGAGCGTTTGCCTAGATTTTCAGCAAGCAACAGATCCTGTCTGTCAAACAATCAGGACGTATCCTCACAATGCTGACAGGCAGTCACACAAACACACACGCACATGTTAGGTTGAGCTGATGTAAAACAAATGGAAGGAAAGAGAGATAAATCCGCCAGCAATCACTTAGACCGCTTTGGAGAACTAAATAACTGTGCTGTGACTGAATAGAGAGGTGCAAGGGGGGAAACTTGCTGTCAAGCCAACAAAACAGACATTCGGACATGAGTTGGCTTGTGAATATATTTGTCCATGGATGTGTACACGCATCCTGCAGACACTACTGCAGTGAGTCTGGGGGGTGTGGAAGTTTGCTTTGAGACGGGTAGGAGGCTTGTTTTGTTGAATGCTCCCGCCCCCACTGTGTGGCTTTGAGGTCCCCGTGTGTATTATCTAATGACCTTGTGTCCTGAATGGGAAACAGACCCTTTGTGGGCGAGGCTCTGAAGTAAAGAGAAGCAATTTCAATGCATCCTTCATTCAGACCTCTCTGCTCTACATAAAGCCTCGGAGGTCTCTCCCCAGTCTCCCGGGCGATTGAGGACAACGAAATGTCCCACTTGTTGGCTGGAAAGCTGTACTGTTTGTGTTAGTTTGTGCGTAGAAAGAAGCGAAACAGTGTTAATGCATGTTCCCAAGGACATGGTCTAATTGTCTGAACAGGAAATACTTCCTATTCTTAGCAGCCAAAATCATGATTTATGTCCAGTTTAGACCAAAATAAGTCATATCGCTTTTGTTAGGGTTAGATTGGTCATGGACAAATGGTTATTTTTTTCGACAGCTTTCCAATGGCTATTCTACCTCATTTGTCATTTAGAAGTGCCGGGTGTTGTCCCCAAGCTGAGAGTCTGCACAGTTGATGGAGGGCGCAGCGGGCGGTCATTGTCATTTCCGCTGGAAGTCTCTTCCCGTGAAGTCATCAAACCATTTGCCATTTCTCATCGCTAATATGGTGTTTTATCAGAAATACAACTGTTAACATCAGGGACACAGTGTCCGTTGGGCTCTTGGTGTTTGGAACTCATCGTAGTGGTTCCACTTAATACATCGACCAGGACAAGGAGCTCTTTGGATCGCAAACTCCTAAATATAACCGATAATTCATCTAATGATTCTGATTGATTTGTTTCCTGGTGAATACATATTACGCAAGCTGAGGGCAATCCTCAGAGGTGTCTTCTGCAAAGTACAAAATACAGTGAAGCATGACATATAGGCAAGAGAAATACGTGAGAAATGTTCACAGCATTGTTTCAGCGAAACTGATCAGAAGGGACCAATCTATTCATCAGACGTGTGTGTGTGTGTGTTGGGGCCGCCAGCTATTCGTATGCCCTGATGACTGAACACACCTTCTTATTCATAAATCTCACCTTTCACCATGTCCTTGTTCATGGATTATCACTGTCAGCTGGTAGCGACGCATAAAGTAAATATCTGATAGCATTGTAGTAACCAAGTGACTCATTTTAGAGCGAGTATGCCAAAAGCAATCCACTGTCCTCATTCCAGCTAATTTACTTTAAATGCAGTGAAGTGAATTTAAGCCATAAGTCAATATAAAAACAACACGTGAATATTGTGACATTACAGATTGCAGTTTTGTATTGCTAGGAAAGTATACACCCGTAACCCATTTTCACTTAAAAGCAACAACATCTCCTTGCCAGGCCTGTGATATCCTGAAAAGGGACTCTCCCGTTGATAAACGGAGGAGCCTTTACTTCAGCGCCGGCCCGGGGTGTTTGTGCTGCTGCTTCTTGCCAGAATGTCAACAGGCTCATGCATGATTAACTGAGACCTCAGGAGTTCCTGTGTCTTAAGTTACGCGCCTCTTGGAAGACACCTGTGGTAACGGAGAGAGGCTCGGACGGAGGTAAAACGCAGTGCTGGCATTGTGTGTGGATGCACGTGCATTGAGTGCATCTGCTAGTGTAAAAGTGTACAGTGTGCGCTGACTCAGCAGCAAGTCAGTTATCCTTTTGTGCAAAGGTAAACAACCGTTGCCATCCCACTGTTATCTAGAAGTTACTTCATGCTTAGCCTTGCTTTTCATTCAGTTCCCTAATTATCCACAAACACCAACCTGTCAGAAAGAGACCGAATGACGGTTGTGTGATCCTCGTCCAAGTATAAAATAAATTTCTATTTTGAAACAAATCCTTCTGATCATCCCACTGTGAAATCCCGCAGACAAAAAACAAACGGTCTGGTTGGCTTCCGCTGGCAGGATACAGCTTCAAAGCGCTGCACATAGTCTTGTTATGAGGCTAAAGGATAAGAGGACGTGTTTTATTGATTTCTTGATATAAATAGCCTCAAACTTCATTGGAAGTTACAATGGACCAATGACCAGTCCTCTTCTTTCTCTTTCTCTCTGTCGTTGCTTCTTGTGCTTTGTAGTAGATGTTGCTAGTGAGACATATATCGACTTCACTTTCCAAAGATTTTTTGATGCTAACACCCAACAAGTTTTTGTTGTAATATTTAATATCCCTAAAATCAGATACCAGGGCTTTCTGTAACACCACAGTCAGACCCACAGACTCTTGGGGACAGGAGTTATAATCCCAAAGGATTTAGAACTCAGACAAATTTTTAAAAACAGGTTCCACCAGCTGGCACGACGGTAAATGTGCTCGACCAGACGGACTTTATTTGGCTGCAAAATGGGCAACTTGAGCACTAACTCGGGTTCACCAGAGTCGTGCTTGAGCCACTCAAGTGCTCCTTACATTAGGGCAGAAATAATTCACAGCTGTCCCATTTTTACAAGTTACTGCTTACCGCCAACATACTTTCACCATTTCAAAGATGTATGGTTTGCAGTCTGAAAGCGGCAGCGCAAATACGCTCAGTTCACCCAGGTACTGGTGTGAGCGTGGGTGGCCTGTTGGAAGATGACAATCACGGCTGTAATGGCTGTTGTATCTCTTTGGAAAATGTTCCCAACGGTAATCACTAAACAACTGCTTACTACTCTTTTAAACATTGTTTAAGTTCATTTGGGGTCTAGGTCGTAGCTGCAGGGGTAATGGTAGGTCTCAGTCATAATGAGACCTGACTGCAGAAGCTTAATCTGTATGTGTGCATTGTGTTTGTGTCCCTCTGTTGTTTGGGCTCCTTAGTGTACAAACTGTTGGCTGCAAAACCACAAATTGACACCGTGTTGATTTAAGTGTGACTTGTAAATGCCCCACAGAAGATGCTAAAGGTTGGTAATTAATGTTTCATGACTGTGGTTGTTCTTCAAAAAGGTGCGGCATGTTTGTTTTTATTACAGTAAAAGTTATCTGTGAACAATCTAACGTAAGTTTTCTGTCTGTGGTCCTAACACATGACCTTTCTGTCAAATCCTCCTTTTGTTCATACAGAAAAGTCGAGTAGTTGACCTCAACCCAGATACCCTCTGCACATTGTTTCCACTGGAGACATGTCCTTTATATGCCCACAGTGAGCTCAACAAATATGTCATTGTTTCCTTTTGCAAGATGAAGGCTGAGACCTTTGCTTTGTGTTGGGAAACCAGATGAATAGTTCATGCAAATGCTATGAAAAGAAGAAGCTGGTTTGCATATAGTTTGTGAAACCCAGCCGTGCGGCTACAACACTCTTATAGTTCTTCATTTCAAACTATAAGAGTGTTGTAGCCGCACGGTGATAGGAG